AGGTCTCTTCCGACCCGGTTGATTCTATGATCTAGAACTTACCTCCAGCAGCTGCCAGGACCATACGAGGTGCCTTGAACTGAGTATCAATATATGAAGCTAGATCTGCTCGAGTCAGCCGCCTAGAGAGAACACAAAGACCCAGTACATCAGCATCTCCAACTTGGAGAAATGAGAGTCTTAGGAGAAGCAAGTTCACAGTGCAGAGACAGCAGTGATTCTCTTTGTTGTGGGATAACAATACTTTTTAGAAGCAAAACTGCACTGTGTTTTTCCTGTGTTCTAATTCTAGAGCACAAAGAATGGGAACTGGTAGCAAAGATAGAGACTTAAGAGCCAGAAAGAAGACTGGTGAGTATCAAGCCTGGTCACTGAGCTAACCCAAGGCCACTGCTTTAATGAGCACCTGTGCTCTTAATTTCTCTAACAGTGTCAAACTGATAAGTATGGGAGAAGGTTCAACTTGGTCCTTCCAACCTCAGATTTTGCGTAAGAGGGTTCTAAGGAATGTGTGCAGCATTATGCTTTCACCAGTGCCAATGGGGAAAACACAGTCAAGGTATGAGGAGAAGCCCTTTGGGCACAGATCCCCTCCATGTACAGACTGGTTCCCTTGTGCACGCAGCATGACAAAAAAGCAGCAGACATGCACCCCATGGGCTGTGCACTACATCCAGCTTATTGCTCACTTGATGTTCTCTGTGGTCCCCTCAACAGTTTGGGCCAGCGCAGTCCCCTGGTAGGCAGTGGCATGAAGGTAATCAAAGGTGACATCTGTCAAGTTGTTGTCCAGTTCTTTCAACTCCTGAAGGATGACACCACGTTCCTTCTCAATCTGAGACTCCTCCAGGGCACAGTTCTGCACGATGTCAGCCAGAAGCTCTACAGCTGCAACACAATTCCTACATTAGCATCCTGCTGCCTGACTGCTACCCGAGGCTGCTGAAAGGGGAAGAGACACACAGGAGTGAGCAACAAACCATGCTGGGGAGGGGAGATACAATGTAACAGAGCTAAGCCTACCCATTCCCACAGCACTACTGAGGGTCAAACAATGCTAGTTCAGCAAAAAGTCTCCCAGTCAGCTTGTCAAGCATCACTGCCACCAGCAAGCAAGCAACATCTGCAGGTGACAAATGACAGAAGCAGGGTACTGTTCCAGAAACACACACAATTCTTACTGAGTTTGTGACACCTACAGTGTAGCCCATGTCTACAGTAAGGCCTGCACCTCTGACTCAAACCACTGTCTCTGGGCAAAACCAACCCAGAGGAGTCTGCACATGGTAGTACAGAGCACAAGCACCACCACAAGAGCTGCACTGAGGAATCCTATCACAGCAGCTGTTGCTGACCTCAGTTTCTCAGCTCCATAACACAACCACAGACCACTGCATCCCTCTACACCTCCCTCCTGGCAATACAGTGCAGCCTGACATAACTAGAGCTCTTTGTCTAGGAACGCATGAACCTGCAGCCTTGAAGCAACAAGTCACTGCACTGCTCTCTTCAATGACCAATTAGAACCTCAGTTACAACTTCAGTCCCTGGTCTGTTGTTAGAAAGGATGCCTGGGGAAGAGAAACACGAGCTTGCTTAACCTCCCAGTCAGACTTTGTTCCAGGTCATCCTACCTTTGGGCATGTCCTTGGACAAGGCTTTTATGTAGAAGGCAGTCTGCTCACGGGAGGTGTACCCGTTCAGGTGAGCACCCAGACTCTCCACTTCCTTCTCAAAGGCAGGGCCAGGCCGCGTCTTTGTGCCCTAAAAGGAAACAGTTCAACGCAATTATGAAATGAACAAATTTCCCTCTCAGCCAGAATCAAAACAATAAAGACCTAAAGCAATAAAAAACTGTCACATGATTCACAGAAGCCAAGAGCAAGTGCAGAAGGTAAGAGATTTAAAGCTTGGCTTATTTTCTCTAGATAAAGGATGGCTGAGGTGTGTTTTGAAAGACCAACACAAACTCAGCATGGAAGGAGACAAGTGGTTGAAAAGAACATCTGTGGAAGCAAACCAAGAACAAGCCTAAACCAAAAATCAGCATATTTCTAGCTATCCAAGCAGTAATATTCAGAAGAAGCAGCATAGAAGCAGAAAGCTACTTCTCATACAGGGCTCATCTCTTGAGGAGTAAGCCAGATGCTGCAGTTGCCTATGAAGGCACATGCTAGACTCAAGTCAGCAAACCCCAGGCCGAGATGCCTTCTGCCCCGTTCAGGAGACACTTAGATTACTTGAAAACCAAGAGTTGTAGTCTCTAAAGTCTGCCAAACCCATAAGAAAAGCAAAGAAAAATAAATGACTATAGGAAATGCTGCTTTATGCTCTGTCTGCTAATCTGAGGAAACATGCTTGATAACACAGTGCTGTATGTGTGTTACACAGTGGCTGGGATAGCCAGGGATTGGAATCACAGGGTCAGAGACTCAGTTTCACTTGTTACTTAAAACATTTATTCCTTTAAGAAAGGAAATACCAACTACTAAATAAGAGTTCACTTAACTCATACATGCTTGCAAGTTGCTGCACATTCAACCAAAGACCAACATATAGGCTAGATGCCTTTTGAAGTGCTTTGTTATACTGTGTGCAAAGTCTCTGAGACTCAGATGATTAATTTACACTCCCATTCAACAGCTACAGCTCCAAAGTGCTAGCACAATGTATGGACAGAATATTCTGAGCAGCTGTGTGCAGGCCCAGCACAGCTCCTTACCTTGAAGGCCAGGTGTTCCACAAAGAAACCAGCACCGTTGTTCTTCGCGTTCTCATGGCGGCTCCCAGCCCCGATCCACACACCCACCTGGCAGCAAACCAGAGAGGGTGAGTATCAGAAGAGAAGGCAATCAGCATCCTCATGTCACAAGCATAACAGCAGGGATGAGAAGTTTGCTCCACAGACATTATGCTACATTATGCTAATAGGACCAAAGTAAGGACAAACAGCAGCAACTGCTTCCCGGACACATTCTGGCTTTTTATCCATCAGCTTCACAAAAGCCTTTGCTGGTTTTGCCAGAGAGGTAATTGCTACTGATCACTAACTGTTCACACAAAAACTGTCACGCTGAGAAAACCTGTAGAGCATGAAAACTTGTCTACAGACTTAACACAACACCAGGCTGGACCTTCTGCTGCTACATTAATCCCACAAGCTAACAATGAGAAGTGGTGCATCTCTGTCAAAAGCTTTGGTGCAGACAGGGATCTGCCACTTTTGCAAGACCAGCTACAGGCTAGGCAAGGCTGATTGTTTCGAACATGCCCCTAACCTATCCCAGCCTTACCGTGCAGGTTGGCTGGCTGGACTCCTCGGAGGCCACACGGAGACCGTTCTCCAGGGTGGTGACATTAGTCTCGGGGATGTTATGGAGTGTCTGGGCATAGGTGGCAGCACTTCTGTTCCTTGTCAAAGTCAATAAAGCTGCCTGAAAAAATAAAGGCTGTCACCACCGCTAACCCGCAGCTCCCCTCGGAAACTCAGAGCTGGACCCAGCGGTTTGGAGCAGGTGGAAAGCCCCAGGGAAGAGCCCACAAACCGGTCAAACCGCAG